GTTGAGCGGACTTGATCACAACAATGAGCCACGACAGCCAACGGAGCAGAAAAGAACTGTCCGGCTGCGAAGCCCCCGAATGATATCTTTCACTCGTCCACGGGATGTAGCGAGAAACAGGCTCACCGGAAGATGAAAGCCAGCGGGGATGAGAGCGGGCAAGAAGGAGATAACCGATGATACGGCCACTAGATGGAAGTTTCCAGAGCGATTGCGAGGCTGACAGCGCAGCGTAGAAAAATCGGCCGAGTTGGGGCAAAGACTGAAGCGATCTAGAGTGTTGAAGTCTCTTGAGGTGTCATCGATCCCGTTGGATACTTGGATGAAACTTTAGAACATCAGCGGTCAGCCCGATCCAAAAAATCATCATTGTTTCTAGGTTTCAATCCCGGACGATGGTCCACAACAAAGCTCAGCTGGATCGGTTTGCATTGGGTGGATCGATATTCGCTCATAGCCGAAAAGTCCCATCTATTCTATCGCAGAATACCCATGGGAGAGGAATGTGTTCCTTGCTAAGCGCACTGAGCCTTCCAAGCTCGGAGTATACAAGAAGCAGATATTTTCCGCTTCAGACTCGTGCCGACCGACGGTCTCACAGAAGACCTGGCGTTTGATTCAGTCGGTAGAGCTTTTGAGAAACTTGTCTCACCGCTCACCGAATCGGTCGCGATGGAATCGGTGGTTGATAGGAACTTCGAAACTTGATCAGGGAATCGAGAGTCGATCGGAGAGTTCTGGCGAACTTATAGGAGCTTGAGTTCCGTAAGTCGTGTCGAGGAGTCATTTCGATTAAAAATTTCCGGTATCAGTCCGGGTAATTGGGCGATTTCCCCTACGAGAATCCAGGAGCGTGCTATCGATTTCATCAGTTGTGTATGCCTACTAGTGAAGGCGAATCTTCGGTGTCCGAGCAGGTTCATCAGGAGACGCGAGACTTAGACGTACATTTATGTAGCTTGCCTAAAAATCTCGCTCCACCCGTCAGAGGATTGTCAGGAAGTAGGAATTGGAGCAACTACAGAATCGGGAACTCGGCTCGCCCTTTCCAAAAGCAGTCAACGTCGTCGAAAACGCGCGTAGCAACAGTTCTGGGAAGCTGACTCACCCTCCCGACGCTCCCCCTCCTCGGGATCTCCCCGTGGATGGTTCGTTCCGTTTCCTTCCTTGCTCACTCCCAAAATGAAAAATCACGTTGGCGAACGATTCGACCGGCGGCATCTCGCAACGAGAAGAACTTTGGGAAAAGCTCCCTTGAGGTGCCGAAGTCGCCATATACGCTTGCCGCTCGTCTCACTCACAGCCCTGGAGGCGAAACCGTAGAAAGACGAAGTTATAGGGAGAGGAGAAACGGAGCGCGCGCCGCAGGAGAGTATGATTTTTTCCTTTCAGTTCGAACAAGGCCGCACACGCAAACGAGCGAGTAAGCGAACTCGGAACTCGCTCGCTCAGTGAACTCAGCAGAAAAACCAAATATCTGGGAGACGTCGCACGAGAATTGTAAAGAGAGAGGACCCACTACAAGACTCCAGGATGAAAACAAGGAGTGAACAGAGAGGACGAGAGGCGGTTCGAGAGGAAAAAATACGAGAAGCGCCTGGAGGGGGAAACGGAGAAAAAACGACAAACTTAGTTCGGAATGAGCAGCAACAGACTCAACAAAGCACAACAGCAACGATGACGTCAGGAGGCCTGAATGGATGACTCCAAGACAAAACCCCTGAATCTACAGGCACTTCCCTCAACGGCTCCTACGACCGTCCGTTTGTCTGCCGTACCGCCGACGTACAGACGCTCTATTCCAGCCGCTAAATTGAAGCCTACTCGATCAATGTCTGTTGCCAGTCTAATGGAAAATAGAGGCAAAACGATCATGACGGCGGATAAACGCCTCCTCGCTCCCGAATTTTCCTTCAGCGCTCCCTTCGCTCCTAGACGGCTCCGGTTCGTCGAATCCGTTTCACTGACTGGCTGCTTGTCTCTTTCTGTTTCGCTGAGCTCTGTAGTCTCCATCCAGCATCCCGACTCGCGCGATCTGAACCGGAGCTTCCCATGCTTCTGAGCCCTGCAATCGTCACCGAATCGATCCGTTCCAACCGTAAGCGGGTCGGGAACCTCATGACGCAGAGGGAACGCTGAGCGCACTTACTGCGAGAGATGCTCCATGAGAAAATAGACTTGGTCACCATGCATGTGCTCCGGGAGGCGGCGACACGACGGGATCACGAATCGTCTAGCGAAAAGGGCGAAGAATGCGGATAAGTTGAGAAATCGGGCCCATTCCGAGCATCGTGCGGGAATTTCTCGAGAGGCACTCGATCAGGTTGGCGAGTCTGGAAATTTTTTTGGAGATAATAATAATCCGTATGCGGCTGGATCCGAGAACGGGACGCCTACAGAGAGCTTCCCCACGAGGCTCTTGGACTCCGTGGACTACCTTGCGGTCTTCAGAGCTGTTAACGTGCTGCTGCTGCTGCGGAAACTATTAAGCCACGTAGAGCTCGTTCATCACCGGGCTTCTCCCTCGTTCGCTTATTGTTGGTCGCGACCCGGCTCTCCAAGAAAGCGTCAGCTTGACCGAGCTTCGCAGATAATCCTCTCAGCCTACCCGAGATAAGTTTTTTTTCCTTCGGATCGTGCTGTTCTCCCACGACATCCAACAATGTATCAGTCACGAGCAACTCTTCCACATGGGTCGAGAGAGTTGTAAGTAGATCGGTGTTTCCAGTCCGCGGCTTCTCGAGGCAGAGGACGAGCCCTGTGAACCTCCGACTGAATACAAAAAGCCTTTGTGTCCACTCCTGTGAGAGAATATTCTATCCGCACTCTCTCATTTTTATCGATAGTGGCTCACCTACGCATTGACAATTTATGGTAGCCAAGAAATATTTCATTAGGATATCCTGGAGCGTCCATTGAATAATTCATCTTGGCGGAATGACCAAGCGCCGCCAAACTGAGACACCTGCCGGCCCCCGACTCGATATACCACCGCCGACTCAAACGACTCGGAGCGGACTCTGGCGAATTCTATACATAATAAACCGCGGCAGCCCCGCGTCGCAGATTATTATTGACCTACAAGTCTCGGATCGGGAAAGAAAGTGAATAGACAGATTGCCTTGGTGATGGCCTCGAGGAAATTGAAACTTCAGATCCGACTGGGAGCACAGGCTGCTGCCCTCAATTACCCGGCTGTGGGAGGAGGCGACCGTTTGGGACGGGATCTCTACGACAGCCTCTGAAAACGAAGCGAGAGGATTTCGACGACGGCTCCCGACGAGTGTTCCCCTCCGATCCTCTCCTGACTTCTGAATCCATGGAGATGTTCGGAGGTTCACATGAACGAGGGGAAAGATTATTCCGCGTTTCCAAGGTCAGCTCGATCCTGCGGCGGCGTCCCGGTTCGAGTCTTCTCCGGAGAATTCCTCGGTTGCCTCGAGCGATTCGGCTACCCGTGGTGTGAATGCTCCCCATCGTCGAAGACAGGATGGAGGATGAAATGACTCTGTGAACTCGGAGTTCTACCCCGTCGACTCAATGGGCTCCGAAGAGATTCGAGTCCCAATTGAAATCCCATACGGAGACTGAGCATCAATACAATTATCAACATTCGAGTTGGCCCCCGGGGAGGCAGCTTCCTGAAGGTTTCAGTCAACAACGAAAACAGGTGAGTTTTTCGATCGCCCGAATTCTGTTTAGGCGAAGGCAGAATTGGGCGGTTCGGCACACATTAATCAATGCAGGATAATGCATCGATCGCTCGAGCAGATCGATTTGTCGACTGCGCGCATTTGTTTTGCGAGTCGTCTCAGGCGGATAGCAGATTGAGCAGGGCCTAATATCCGCAAATATTCGCTCGAGGTCTCCGAAAAAATGTAGGTGTTCCATCAAATGAGCATAACGGAAGAATATTTTCAGTAGCGCCGACTGCCACGATACTGACAGAGGACCCTGAATCGCCGAGCTTAGCGACGCGTCGCCTGGATGATTCCGATCGAGTGTGAGTGATATGAGCCCTGACGCTCAGGATCACCAATGAGGAACCCATGCAGCGGGTCGTGTCCCGCTCAGTTCGCCAAAATCATATTCCTCACCATATCGCATGAAAGTTCTGGTCCGAAGACTGAGCGCTCAGAGATAAAATAATTATTACCAAGATGAAAAGATTTGGTAGTGGCCCGAATCGGCGGAACTCGTGCCTCACCCTTCGATAGATTTATTTCGTTTTCCATGTCTGACGATCTTCTCTGTGACACCCAGTAGAGAAGGGGGCGTTTCATCTTCTGATAATATTCGACTTTTATTCACGATTTCATCGCAATCATAGCGGTCGCCCGCGGAATCCCAGCTTCGAAGAGCAAGTCCACTCATAATATGTTCCAACAAATCGGGATCCGCGTCGCCGATCCCCGCAATTATCAAGAATGTACATCGACTCGTTCAGGACTATGTTTATCATTCCGACGCCAGAAATTTCCGAATACACGTTTGACCTTATGAAATATCTCGGATCCTCACATGGCGAGTCCACATACTCCTTCCACCTACTGGCGTTCGCATCAGCTGACCCAGACATTGTATAAGACTCAACTTCGGAGATAATTTCGAAACTTCTCAGACTAGAACCATCACGAATGCAACCGAAGATGGCGATATGCGATGAAATGAACGATTGGAAATATCCCTCTTTCTGGTGAATATTAACAGTGGGAATCGACCTGTAAGGGTAATGGCAAGAAGCATCAGTATTATGGAGAGCTATCAGTGGATTCGCGCCCCAAATCGATCTTGGTGGAGAATTCAAAAAAGCTGATTCGGAAAATAGAGTATGGATGGGGTCGCTCATCGGACTAAGGGGGAATGTAGGGATAGGATCGATACGGAAACTCACCCTCACAACAATTTAAATCTAAACCGGGTCCTCACGGGTCCTGTACATGGATCACAGATTCAAAGCGGTTTCAGCCGCTCAGTCGGCGGAGTACCGACCAAATGCGCTATGCAACATTAACGGCTTCCTCGTGTTCTGTTTCGTATTCACGTTCGTCTCCTAAACCTTCGTCAGGACTGTCCCTGGATTGTCTTTCCAGATTATGGAGAGGATTAGCTTGAACATTAGCCACAACCCGAGCGCTGACCTGAGGCGCGCCGTGCTTGCCTCCGTTATGTTGATGATTATGATGCAACGCCTGCTGCTGCTGCTGTTGTTGTTGTTCCTGCTGCTGCTGGTGATGATGAAGGGTGTGCTGCTGTTGGAGCAACGGCTGCTGCTTCTGCTGAACTTTGAGAGCGACGTATTCATCAGGGTAATCTTTGGCACATTGAGGAGCAGGGGGCGGAACGTCTTCATTCGCTTCTTCCGGAACCACCTCCGGTTTCGGCGATGACGGCTGTTTCTGACGATTGCGGAGGTTCAGGTTCTCGATTACCCGATTGGCGATTTTTTCCTCGAGCTCCGAGGCGATTGCGTTCACTAGACTAGCGTTATTCTTCTCGAAAGACGAGAGCTTCACCGACGACGGGCTCATCGACCTCAGCGTTTCGACACCGGTCACTGGACATCCGCTCGAGCTCGAGGGCTCTTTAGCCGTCCGACCAGGAGCCGAAATCATCTGCATACTGTCAGATGCCGAGGTGGTGCTGGAAGCGATGCCGGAACTGCTTCCAGGCGCCGACTCATTACTGCTTATGACGTGCCTCTCGGAAGGAGAACAGCTGCCGAGCTCCGTGAAGGGCTTGGCAGCCGAGTTGACCAGATCCACTCCGACATGATTGTCTTTGCCCAGCGAGACCATCGTTTCGTAGCTTGCTTTGGCTTTGAGGTTTTCGAGGCTCGCCTTACTTGACTTGGCTCCTCGACTACTCGATTCGTGGTTGGTCCCGTTGCTCGCCGAAGGATACTTGCGTCGGGAGCCGTCGTGCGCGGCCGACGCGGCCCTTTCTTCGCAGTATCTCGCATATTGCTGCATCACCATATAAACAGCACCTACCAGCACAATAATGGTCAACAGAAAGCCCAGTATCACACCGACGATTTCGGCAGCTGTCAACGTTCCGAACTCTTCTCTAGGCTGGACGAAGAGCGTGGACATGGCCGAAACGTTACCGGCACGATTCGACGCTGAGCAAAGATACGTGCCGCTGTCCTTCATGAAAACATTAACAATTGTGAGCACGCTGGTCTTCAAACGTCTCAGCGACTCTTCCTCGTGAATGACGTACAGCTGACGACCGAATGAAATGACGGACATGTTTCGTATTGGGCGTCCGTTTATCGACCACTGAATCGACGTCGACGACGGCGGTGTCGAGTCGACCTCGCAGCGTAGAGTTGCGTTCTCCAGTTCGACGGCGGTCGCCGACGCATCGATTGAAGAAACTTCCGGCGCACAGGCGAAGTCGTCCATGTCGAGCGCACTCCAGGAAATCCCTGCAATACGGAGCAACATTCGCTTGAGCCTCAGTCGGTCGGTGCATATAATGCCCGCGGTCGACTGTCGGGAATCCCGTCCCCGAGCTCGTCCGCCTACCCGTCGACGTCGACAACCGCGTCCTCTGGGACCCGGGGATCCGCACGCAAAGACGACCGAATACGAACCTTGAAGTCGGCTCGGACTCGCGCACTTCGGCGGGGCCGACAATGGCATATTGTTGTCGATCATCCACTGTCGAACTTGACGCATTTCGCAGTCACAGACCCATGGATTTTCCTGAAAGGAGCGCGCAATTGTTGAGTTTAGCCTCGGAATATCGGGAATAAGTGACATCTGCATTCCGGAGGTGGGTGCGGTCCGCGCCCACAGTCGATTCCCGGGCTGTTGCGAGCGGTAAATATTTGCTGAGTTGCCTGTCGGCAAAGCAATCGTTGGACCGAACGGTCCCGAGCGCTCACCTCGAGGTTGACTCCGTACAGCTGGGGCGGAAGGTGGTCGGTGAGAGCCGCCGAAGGAATACGGGTCAGCAGGTTATGGGCCATCCTGAGAAATTCCAGACCTCGCAGCCCGCGGAAAGCCATTGTTTCAATCGAGTGCAGCTGACAGAAGTTCAATTCCAAGGTTCCCAAGCGGATAAGACCCTGCGGAAAATCGGTGCGTATCGGAGAAAGAGCTTCACCGAAAGGCGCGGAACACGGCGCCGGCGTACCTTCGGGACACCGGAGCAAAGATCGAATCATGAAGTCAACGAGAGACCGGAAGGAAAACCCGAAGAGAAAATTACGGAGCGGAAACATCCTGTGAAGGAAGTAAAGAGTCGCTTCCGAAGCGAAAATATCCGATTGGGACTCACGCGGAACGCATCGTCGTGAAGGACCTGTATGGGGTTATGGCTGAGCGAGAGTCTCCGGAGAGCCGAACAATCGGATAGAGCTCTCGTGGGAACAGACGTGAGATCGTTACCGCTCAAGTCTAATTCCACGAGGTTTGTTAGAAGATGGAAAGCGTCGTCTGCGATTTGAGAGATGTGACATCGGGACGCATAAATCCTCTGCAGGTTTGAGTACGATTTCGAATAAAATTCTCGAGATTTGAGCGACTGTAGAGGATTTGCCGAGATGTTGAGCACCTGCAAAAAGAGGGTTTTCCGTCCTGGGAGTCGCAATCGCATCGAGCGAGTCGCGTCACGGTCCCCTGCCGAACCCTGAGACGAGAATGATCGGTATCGGGAATGAAGAACCAAAGAACTAACCTGAGTTTCGACGTTCAGACCGTCGGGGACGGACTCTAGTTGTTGGTGTCCGCATTCTGCGGTTTGTTTCCCGCTGGACCATTTGCAGGTACAGCCCTTCGCGCATTCTTCGTCAGTGTAGGCTGGTAGCGCTATCGAGGTCGTCTCGCCGGTCAACAGCAAGACGCCCAGCACTTGAAGCAGTGCCCACCAGCTAGGCATCGTGGTCACATCACTCAATGCTTAGGGCTGTCATCTGACGACGTACTCTGGAATCGGAGGAAATTCAAATTACACAGCACTCGATAGATCTGCCCCAAAGCTAGGTGGGTAGTAATTCCTTGCAGCACGCATATACGAGTGAAGTGCCTCAAGTACAGAGAGCAGAGAACTCCGCTCGTCTGTCAAGAAGTCGATATCGGTTGCGATGTTGATCCGTGAACACTGCGCGCGCCTTTCCAAGGACTCTCTGTGTATGTACTAGTGATCAGCATCGTTTTTATCCGAATGGCCTGGACGGAAGTATTTTGCGTCCGATAATTGGGGATTTTTCCCTGTCTGGGAAAGAACGCATCGCGGGTAGATCCTCCCCGTTCCACACGGCCTACAGTGATATTCTGGCGCAGCAGAAATCAATGAGAAACACATCTCGGGGTTTAAGCTAGATGGCTGACTGAAATTCCTCGAGGGACTCGCCAGAGCTCATCCTCGAAGCGAGAGGCATCTCGAGTGCACATTTTCTGGAGTCTAATTCCGGAAACTGATAGGGCGACGAAGATTCGGAAATGTCCGATGCTCGCCCACACTGCGCGCGGAGCAGGATTATCCCAAGTATCGATCGAGATCCGCGGTAGGTATCGGAGATTGAGATGCTTCGCATCCGAAGCTCCGCACCCTTATCGTTTAATCAATAGTAATAACCCCGTATCGATTAATCAAACGCATGATTCATAGACGGCGGAAGTACGAGCATCTGAGGGGCTTCGAGCTGTCTACAAGTCGGAGCACGTCCGGATCGTTCACCCTTCGGGAACTTCGACGAAGACCGCTCTTGAAGCAGCGTGTAATATGTTGCGTCACGGACCCGCGCAGCTCCTGTCGCCCTCGTTGGCCCCTCGTTGCTCCTATTTCCCTAGCTCACACTAAACTCTTCTCGCATTAGAGCGGCTGAGCTTCCCGAAGGCTGGGAAAAACAGCGAAAAGAGTGCACAACTAATTGTGTTATCCTGGAAGCCATGAAACTCTTGGAACAGCTAGGGAATACACGTTTGCATCCGAACAAACTTGCTCACCGACGGCACTCCCCTGCTACATATACGGAGCTGACATCCGTTCCCCATTTGTCGTCTCCCTCCAATCAACGCCAGCATCGACATTCGGTCCGTCAATCTCGCTCATGTTGATCCCCTCGGTTTCGACCCGTAGGACTTGGAAGTTCTCTGACCCACTTGGCGACGCGACGGCGCGAAACGCCCAGAGTCTTGAGTAGAATGAACCTTCAACCGAGCTGAGCATCAAGTCTCTTCGGCGGAGATTCGGAATTCCTAGAGGGCGCGGATGGACAGGCACGAAATCGTATCCTGATCCTGTCTTCTCAAAAGATGTCCCGGAATCGAGATCGGATGCGTCATCCGAAGACGGTTTCGTGTCCCTGTGGAGCTCGCTACGGGAGTCGTCGAGCATGGGATCAGAGAGGAGATATAAGATTCTAACGGAGTTCATCTCGCGCAGTCAGGCTCTTAACTCGGCGAGAATCAAGCGATGTGGAGAACTCACGCCCCGCCTTCGCCCCCTATTGCCAGGATCACGGATTTGAGAACAGATCTACGGAGCCGTTTATGGACTCGATCGGATCATGGTCTCCCGAGCACGTTTGAGAGCGCAATTAGTGCACGTTTCGAGTACATCCTACGCTTCTGGTAGCTTATCCAATCATTCAACCTCGATCATCTTTACGCTCAGTTCTATCTTGGGAGAATCTGGGAGATGGAGCCCGTCAGAAGTCTCTCTCGGGCCGCAGCCGCATCCATTAGGGAGATCTGCTAGGCAGCGATTCCGCAGCCACGAGTCGATGTGGCGGGATCTGCACGAGCACGACGTTTAGCTTCGCCCGAGAGGTTCCGGAGATTCGCTGGCGAGCTCCTCTGATCCGAGCCAAAAATCGAGCGGGCATAAATCTCGACGAGATTACAACTCTTCCGTCTTGGCGCGCCGGACCGCCGCCACCGCCGACGCCCCACAGGCGAACGTACCGTGCTCTGCCGTCGATTCCGCAGCTACGTCTCGTTACGTTCTTGAGACTCCCTTCTCTCCTCCGTAGGACTCCGATCGCTTTCGGTGATTACTCGAAGCTCAGTTTCCATGCTCGGGTTTGATTCGTTTTTTTTCCCGCGGTCATCGTCCATCATCCGGGTGGATGTCTGAGCGTAAGGATTCTATAGTCATCGGTGGGAGTCAATCGGTAACTCACAGCAAGCACCTCGGAATGTCCGGAACATACCGATTCCGCCCTCCCCGATTCGGCCGATTGGAGGAGCTCATCGACAAGTATTGCGATCTCCCTGGATAGACCGAGGGGATAAATAAGATCGGACCGATGAGCAAACTCCAGGATAGATCAGCTGCTCGCGCATCGAGTCTCGATACGAATTACACGGATGCTGATGAAATCGATGTGTCCATCGCTGATTCCTCGGCATGTGCGGACACGAACAATGGCCTGATGTCGAGGGACGGAACGAGTTCTCGAACGGAAATGCGTCGAGTAGCATTTCGAGTGACCGTCGTCGTCGAGAGTCGCGACTCGGCCCCGGACGATTCGGAGGAAGCCAGTGAAGAAAGTAGGGAAAGAGCTTTTTGCGGCGGCGTATCGAGGTTGGCCATCGCGGCCGCTTCTCTCACGTCCTCGTCTCGTATTTGTTTGCCGAGCGCAAATACGCACCGCTCCGACCACGGGTTAGAGGGCTCATCGCTCTTTTCCGCTTCGATTTCCGGCCTTTGCTCTCTCGGCATTGTTTTTTTCGCTTACTCCTCCACCACCAGCTTTTTTCCCTTTGGAATTCTGGCTCACTTGCCTCGACCCCTCTTCGCGTATCGGAATGATTCGCGAGATCAGGATTGGCATCGATGACCCGTCTGGATAGAGAAACCCGGAACGAGGTCTCGCGGCGAGAACGCCGTGCTCGAGTGCTTCGACAAATACCCCGTCCTCTCTCGCGTCCTGGCTCTTTTCTGACATAGTGCCACGTCCCTCGGTCTCGGAGGCACCGAAGACAACGCCATGGTGTGTTTCACGCTTTGACACAGCTCTGACGAGCGAGGCTCTGCGTTTCTGCCGCCGCTGTCGGAGCTCAATGGAGTGGAAACGGAAAACATGCTCACCACGAAACTTGGCGTCTCCAAGAGTCCCTCGTCTCAGGCGCGAGACGTCCGAGATTCGGATCTAATGAGCCCGAAATTGCACGGGACCCGTACATTGGCGAGAAGTTCGCTTCCGTATCCCGAGACGAAGTGCAAGGTCCGCACAAGCTCGGCGGCTTCTCGAGCCTAAGAAATCAAATAATCGAAGTGAGTTGCAGAAAAAGCGAAAAAAAACAGGTGCGATTCCGTGCAATATCGGAGCCTCACTTCTCAGGCTTCTGGATGAAAGCACACGGAAACCGCTGGTCTCGGCCAGTGCTCTCGATCGGATCAATATTCTGGCGGGCTCCGAAAACCGCCGGTGCTCTGCGTGCCCGCAAAACGTATCGTTCGAAAGTTTGTAGCGAGGCGTGCGTCGTTTGACGCTCGAAACTGCGGCCACCCGGTCATCCTGTCGTTTGGTCGCGGATGTCCCGTGGCGAGACGCATGACACCACGTAGCGGACATCACAATCTATTTGGGCGGAGGAGCAAAGACGAGAACTCGGACCTGTTCGGCACCGCGGAGGGCGATGCTGCCGGCCGGCCAGTAATGCATTGCGCCGTGTATCGCTGAGCACCCCATCTCACCGAAGCTGCAACCGCTCGTCGTCCCAAAACGGAGCTTTATATGAGCGATAACCCCGGATTTTCTGCCGAGGAGTCGATTCGTTTTCTGCTTTTTCACTACAGAATTCACGTCGACGATGGTATACTATACGGAGCAACATGACTATCAGTGCTCTAGAATCGGACACTCGGAGATCGGTCTACGTATCGTCCTCCCCGAGCGGGTTTGGACGGCACGTCGGGGGCACAAGCGAGTCCGAGCGAGCTTTCTGTTAGGTTGCCGTTGAGAGGGCGGCACTAGAGCCTACGCTCTAGGTCGAAACGTAGGGTCCACTTCGTTCCCCGAAGGAGCCACAGCATGAACATCTATCCCACTGCGCGAGTTGTCTATTAGATCTGGTATCTCCAGGGATGAGCACAGCCGAGGCTGCTGCTGTTTGATCACATCTTTGCATTTTCCTCCGTGTCCCAGCATCATGACACACGCCACCGACGCTGTACGTTGGTCAACAAGCTGACGTATAAGCAAGTTGTGGGTTTGTAGGTTACTCACGCTCATCGATGTGAGTCACTCACGGTCCCCGTCGCCCAGTAGCAATCATCATGTGTTCTTCGTGCAGCACGAACGATGGTGAGGAGCCTGGTTGCTCATTGCGTCGTTGTTCCCACGGCATCACGTGTTCCACCCTGTTTGCGGGCGGAATTCAGTTGGGGGTTCTACCAGGAAGGGACAGCCGAGCAAACATCGTCCGCAACTCGCTCTGGATCAGTTGCCGGGAAATGACCTTGTTGAGCCATCGGGAACGAAGTAGCTGCGTTACGATTTGGCACGGTGCCATCGAGGGTTATCGGAGCAGAAATCTGTACTGTTTTTTATACTTATGCCGCTACAGCTGCGGCCGCCAACGGGGAGATCATCGGCATTTATCGTCGTCGTCGACGGCGCCTGAACTGCGGCAGCTGCGACCGCCGCCGCCTCCAGCGCCGCCGTTGTGATTGACGTCGTTAGTGTCGACAATGTCGTCATGAGCAAAATTGACTGTTTTGGCTCGAAATTCATTCTTCCGCTCGATTAACTCGCTTATCGCTTCGCCGCGACCCTATTTGAAGACGGTTCCAGTTGGAGAGGATCTCGGTCCCGCCTCTCGGTGTCTTGTTTTTATTTCTGCACAGTCGACTTCTCGCTCTCCGAGACGCGAGCTTCGGACTGGCGCTGGAATTCAGCGCAGCGATGAACGTATTTTCATATCCGT